AGCCGCCCTCGGCCACGGCGCCAGAGCGATGCGAGGGCCTCGCAGCTACCCCCGCCGCCCATCCCGGGAGCTCTGCCCGCAGGCTGCCGAAACCGGCCCGGCCGGGGCAGCACGGAGAGGCCAGCCCCGGCCCTGCGGCCCGTCGGCACAGTCCGGTTCGAGGTGGCTGGACCTGCACGTGCAGCCCATGACTCCGTATGCCCCGCGAAGAGGCTGGAGCTGCGGTCCCTGTAGACGGCGCATGAAATCTGCCGTCCTGGAGACAGAAAGGAGCTGGTCGGTGGGCACCGGCTGAGCCCCTCCCCAAGGCAAGCGCCGGCATCTGGGCGTCCTGGGCGGTTCGCATCTGGTGGCTGCGGAGGGGCAGCTGCTGCTCGCACCAAAGCAGCTCAGACAACAGAGGAGCAAGCCATGGAGCCGGCCGGCCTGTCCCCTGGCACCTAGAAGCTGCTCAGCTCTTTGGCCTCTGTCTTCCCTACCCGGGACAGGTCCTGTCTGTAGTGGTGACCAACTCCGTCCAGGTCTCATAGTTGGTCAAGTCAGAAGGGACCCGAGCAGATCATCGAGTCCGACCCCTGCCACGGGCAGGAAAGGATGCTGGGGTCAAACGACCCCGGCTAGGTGGCTGTCCAGCCTCCTTTTGAAGACCCCCAGGGCAGGAGCCAGCACCACTTCCTAGCCTGAATCTGCTCTGTCAGCTTCTGGCCTTTGTTCCTCGTTACCCCCGGCAGTGCTCGGGGGAACAGGGCCTCTCCCATTCAAGGCCCGGGACCTCCTGGTCAACCTCCTCCTGGCTCTGGCCAAGCTTGTCATCTGGCGGTCCAGGAGGGGGGCTCTGGCCGGGAAGGCTCCCGGCGACCTCGGGGCGTTTTCCTCGGTGTCCTTCGCGCGCGTCTCTGGGCGCAGCACCGCCGGGCGGCAGCCGCTGGCGAGCTCTCCAGGTTTGCGAGCCCGTGTGCGCTGTCCGGGGTCTCTGCTCGGTGTCCCCCGGGGAGCACGTGTTTCGACCACGACCCTGCACGTGCGTGCCCTGTTTTCTCTTTCGCTGTCCCTCGCAATTTATTGGTGTTTTAAGGCGCTGGTCGCCCTGCCCAGTGGCGGCTCACCCTGCAGTTTTGGGCTCTTAACTTTTTAATCTTTTAGCTTTTTTACCCGCATGAAGACGGGCGAGTGCCAAGCACCAGGTGACTTCCCACCCCGATCGTTTTAAGTGATGTCGTCACGGTGCCGGTCGCCTGACGCAGCGGCGGTGGCGGCCAGCCTGGCTCTGCCCCCCGCCGGGGCGGCTCGCTCTGGACTGTTTCTGGACTCCCGCAAGGTGGTCCAGAGGACTTTGCACCACCGGCCGCCATCCGACGGCAGCCCACCGTTTCGAATGGATTTCCCCGCGAAACGAGGACTTCAGATAGTCCCATTCCCCGCTGGTCCCCCTTGGCCAGTTTATACACGGCCACTGGATCCCCCTCAGCCTTCTCTCGCGGTGGCTGAATAGGTTCAGGTCCCGTCGCCTCTCCTCGTCAGGCCGGCCCTGCTGCCTCATCGCCGGGCACCCTGTGGCGAGCTGGCCCCCGCGCTGAAGCAACGTGCAGAGACAGCAGCCCGCGTGCAGGCCAGCCTCAGCTCCCTGCTGCTCCCACCCCGCTCGTGGATGGGCTCCTGCTGCGCTGCGCTGCGCTGCGCTGCACTGCGTGCCCGAGCAGTGTCCGTGTGCTGGGCCCCAGCCTCCTGTGGCCCCGGTGCCGTAGAGCCACGTGGCACAAAAACAAGCGCCCAGCCAGGGCCGGGGCCGGGGCCGGGGCCAGGGCCAGGGCGGGCGGCGAGGCTGGAGCCGAGGGAGCAGCCTCTGTGGGACCTCTCCACGGCAAGGCCCAGCACACCAGGCATGGGGAGGAGCTGGGCCAGGGATGCACAGCCTTCCCGGGAGGAGCCAACGACGTGGGGAAGAGACGGGGAGCACACGGCAGGGCTGGGGCAGCGTGGCCACTCGCCCCATTGCAGCCCGCAGAGCTGGCAGGTGCACAGAGGCAGGGCCAGACCAGACCTGACCTGTTGCAACCAGGTTGCAGCAGGGATCAGGCCCTCCACCATGGGCCTGGCTCTGGAGGTGGGGCAAGATGTGCAAGGGCCATGTGCAACGTGCAAGGGAGAGGGCAGAAGCCGGACAGCTGCCCCCCGCCCCCCAAAAGCAGAGGACCCGGCCCCTTCCTGCCCCCACCCATCTGCCCCTTGGCCATGCAGAGGCGGACGCGTGCAGAGACGCACGCGGCGTGCAGAGGGAGCTCCCGTCTGTGCTGTGACTTGGACCAGGCTATAAATAAATGTCAGCTTTCCAGCACCGAGCCGCAGCCGCGGCCTCCACCTCCTGCAGGCACAGGCCCCTGGTGTGGACGGCCTCCCCCTGCCCGGCCCGCCGGCCCTGCTGCCTGCCAGCCACATCCCCAGGGGAAAGGTACGGCCTATTTCTGGAGCCCCGGGGGAAGCACAGCCGGGCTGTACAGAAAGAGCAGCCAGCGGGTTTCTGCTGATCCAGAGATTGCTGCTGCCTCTAGCGTGAGCGCCTGCTGATGCTGCCCGTGCGCCGGCAGCTGGAGCCCACCGGGGACCCTGGCCAGCACGACTGTGCAGTGCGCTGGCAGTCGGGGGCCCTGGCTGCGGCCAGTCACCACCCGACGGGGCTTCCCCGCAGCCCAATCCCGAGCGAGCGGTGGCTGGTTCTCTGCTGCTGGAAGGGGAGGCCTCCCCTGGGCCATGAACCAGCCCCCGGCCCGGTGGGAGCTTCCCCGGGCCCTTGCGGGCTGGCTGCCGGCACGCCTGCCTGGGACCTCGCGGGCTGCTGCGTACCAGCTTCCGGCTAGCAAGCCCCACCGTGCCCTACTGCCTGGCCTGGCCCCTCCAGCCTGCCCTGGCTACAGGGCCCGAAGGCAGCGCCGTGGCCCCCTGGCACAGGAGGTCTCCCAGCTGCTGCCAGGGGGTCGCACGAGGTCATTGCTTCAGTACCCGCCTTCCTGCAGGAACCTTTCAGCTTTGGCAAGACCCCGTGGGACCCGAGAGAGCTCCTGCTCCTGGGCCAGGAGAGCCAGGAGCCGGGTGTGGGGGCTCAGGCCTGGCCTGCCCGTCCCTGCTGCGGGCCCAGCGCTGCTAGCTCATCTGGGACGGATCGCTCTGTTTCTCATGTCTGTTGAAGGTTTGGAGGGTTTCGCGCCCCCCAACGTGGACCGCTGTTAGCTTGGGGACCTGGGACCCCATCCTGCAAAGCCAGCTGGGCCTCCCAGCTGCCCTGGGACCAGGCCAGCTTAGCCTCTGTGGTCTCCAAAGGGTCTGGCTTTGGCAGCGGGCACATGGGGCCTAGAGAGCACCCTTGGGACTGGGAGCCCCAAAGCCACCCGTGCTCGCAGGGACCAGGCACAGCAGAGGCCTGGCCTGAGCAGGATGTCCCAGAAAGCCCCCGCGGTGAGGAAGCAGGGGGCTGCAAGGGGCACAATGACACCAAGCCCCAGGCAGGCCCCAGCAGAGGAGACAGGCGCTGGCACCTGCTCAGCCTGCAGGGAAAGGCATGGCCCGGAGAGGCCAGAGGACAGCAGGGAGGTCACTGAGGCGGGTGCCTGTGCAGAGCCTTGCTTGGGCAGACCTGCCCGTCCTGGCCCGTGCCACCACCGGTGCTGCACAGAGCCTGGGAGGCCAGAGCTGGAGCAGGTGGCCACAATGGCCATGTCCAGGCCTCTCTGACAACCCCCCCGAGCTCTTGGCTCCGGCAGCGTCTCGTGGCAGCAGGTTCCACAGGCTGGGGCCCATCGGCTCGCTCCACACCCACCTCTGCCCCCGGCTTCCCGCCCCCTGCAGAGAGAAGCTCCAGCCTCTCCAGTGGGGAAGGACAAGCTGGAGCTGTGCCCACGACCGCCAGCAACTGACACCACGAGCGCAGCCTGTCCCCACAGCAGGCGCCAGCATTCAGGCAGGGGCGGGGTGGCTGGGCAGGTGCCCGGTGCTGCACGCAGGGCCCGGCCCAGGGATGCAGGGTGCTGCAGCTCCCCTGCGGCAAGGCCTAGAGGACACGACGGGATCGGCCTGGTGCTTGAGGATGCGCGCTGAGGCCTGGGTGGGCCGGGTGTGGCATGCTCATGCCTGGGGGTGCCGAGCTGTGTGCTGACGGCACGGGTGCTAGGGGGTGCGTGCTCAGGCCCAGATGGGCTGAAGGGTGTGTGCTCGGCACCAGGGGGTCTCTGCGGAGTGTG